AAGGTGGCGGCGGCGGTGGATGAGGTGCTGGGGTTTGTGATTAGGGATTTCATCCGGGTTTGGTACGGGGGTATCAGTTCGAACCCGGTGTTTGAGAATGAGGTTGACAGGGCGATCAGGGGGGCGCTGCTGAGGGTTAGGGATCGTTTGGCAGAGGTTGATTTGGCGGGGGTGGTGACGATGAGGTTGGTGCCAATTTTGACGGCGCATTTGAGGGACTTTGGGGAGGCGGAGAAGTCGGTGAGGGGGAGGAAGCTGAACAGGAGTGTGACGGAGACGGAGGAGTTGGATTTGGCGATTGCGAGTAAGTACCGGGAGGGGAGGCTGCATCCGGCGGTGGGGTTGGGGTTTAGTGATGTCAAGACGGCGCAGCAAGATTATTTGAGGGGGTTGATGGGACGGGTTTTGCCAAAGGTGTTGGGGAGGGAGGTGTTGGGGTCGAGGGCGGTGGGGATTGTGGTTAGGGAGATTGTGGCTTGTGCGGTGTTGGGGCCGGTGATGGGGTTGTTGGCGGAGCCGGATACGTGGAATCAGTTGATGGAGGGGTATGGGAGGAGTATGCTGCAGGATAGGTCGACTGTGAGGAAGCTGAGGGCGGCGTTGGATCAGCATGCTTCTCCTGCGCCGAAGACGGGGGGGAAGCAGGTGGTTGCGTTTCCGAGGTTGGGGGTGGGGGATGGCGAGAGACGGTTTGAGAAGTTTGTGAGGGCGATCAGGAAGGTGAATAACCTTTCGGATGCGAGGAGGTTTAGGAGCGAGGTTGCTAGTCAGTTGAAGAGGGATTCACAACAGGAGGGGGTGGATCAGGTTTATATGAGACGGCTGGAAATGGGGAAGAGGTTGTTGGATCAGAAGGTGCAGCATTTGGCTACTCCTGGGGATAGGAGGGGGTTCCAGCCGCAGCAGGGGGGGAGCAATGTTGTGCCTAGTGATTCCAAGCTGGAGAAGGCTTCTCTGACGGATTTGTTGAGAGACCCGTCGGGGTTGTCTTATTTCATGGAGTATATGGATAGGCAACAGTTGATGCCGCTGGTCCAGTTCTGGCTCGTGGTGGATGGGTTTCGGAATCCGCTCGAGGATGATGGGCTTGAGGGGGAACAGCTGCCGCTGCAGCTACCGCCATGGACAGAGTCGGATCGCCTTGATCTTGCACAGATTGATGCTGCCTACCTCAGCCGGCCTGAGCTCAAGGTCCCCGACTCTAGCAAGAGGATCATTTCCGATTTCCTCAAGGCTGGGAAGCGGGCCACGCCGGAGCAATACTACCGCGCTCGTCGTGAGATTCTACGGGCTCAGAGCGCGGTTCTGGAAGAGATGCGCGTCAAACACTTTCAAAACTTCCGCAAGTCCGAGATCTTTTACAAGGCCCTCGCTGCAGAGGAGGCCTCAAGACGCACTACCGCCTCTGTTCCTACCACAGCACTTCCCCGAGCGGCCTCATATGCCGCCCCATCATCATCATCATCATCAAAACCACACCCCGTGTCTCGCCTAGCCCCCAGGCTACAAACCAACAATAACCCCCAAAACAACAACCGACGAGCGGGCTCGGCAACCGATCTCCGGGCCATTTCCTTCAACTCTAACGGAGGGAGCGACCTCGGCCCTTTGATGAGCTCGGTCCCTGACCTCCGCGACATCCGCCGGTCAGGTTCATTGGACGAGGGTCGGGGGTCTTATTCACCCAACCCCTTATTTGACGACGAGGTAGGAGGAGGAACAGGGGATAACGACCCCATGGCGGACTCGATCGCGAGCCTGGACCAAGACAGCGGCAGTAACAACAATGTGCCAGACACAAAAGTCGTGCAAGCGATGGAGAGGGCGCTGAATAATATTCTTGAGGACAGTCAGCAGACACCACTAAAGGTGGACGACCTACACGGCGGTTTATTTGGGGACGAAGACGCCGACAACGGCAACATGGACGGGGGTTTATTCGGGACAACTTCTACCACCGCAGCAGGGAAACAGCGGGCTCCGTCAGACGATAGGTCTGCCGCTAACAAGCGTAGGAGTATGGACTTGGCTACCCGATCATCACGTGGGTCGTTGGACACGACAACTACTACTACTACTGCTACTACTACTACTACTACTACCATTACCACAAACAACAACAACAACAACAACAACAACAGCAACAACAACAACAAGATGGAGAAACCGTCACTCGCATCGTTGGGTCTGGTGTCGGCAGCGTCAAGGATAGGGGTGTTTGTGGATGACGACTTGTTTGGTGACGAGAACAGGTTCTTGTCGGACGAACCCTCGGACGTTGACGAAGCTAAAGACTCGGAGGATGACGTTGCTGCTGTTCACCTGGCCGCTCCGGGGGATTTGGGCCTGGCGGAGGCGATCACCAGTCTGACGAATGAGATTGACAAGCTGGTCACGCAGGAGGCGGTGGTGGATTCGTTGCTGAGGAAGGCGGAGTTGACGAATAATACGGCGGAGCTGAGGATCTTAAGAAAGAGCAAGGCGTCGCTGCAGAGGGAGCTGAGACGAAAAGAGCTGCAGAGGAGGCAGTATGTGATTCAGGAGAGCGATAATAGCTTGTATGGGAGGTCGACGGTGAGGATCCTGAGGGAGATTGAGGTGGGGAGGGACGAGGAGGGGAAGGAGTTTGCGGTTTATGCGGTGGAGGTGTCGAGGAACGCGGGGGAGAAGATGCCGGCGGCGAGGTGGGTGGTGAAGAGGAGGTATAGCGAGTTTTTGGAGCTGCATCAGAAGCTGAGGGGGGGGTACCCGAGCGTGAGGGGGTTGGAGTTTCCGAGGCGGAGGATGGTGATGAAGCTGGAGCAGGGGTTTTTGCAGAAGAGGAGGGCGGGGTTGGAGAGGTATCTGAGCGAGTTGTTGTTGCTGCCGGATGTTTGCAGGAGCAGGGACTTGAGGGCGTTTCTGAGCCAGAGGGTGATTGATGGGGGGAGTAATGGGGAGGGGAGCAGGAAGGATATGATCAGTAGGCTGTATGACAGTGTGGCGGATGGGATGGAGGATATTTTAGGGAGTATTCCGGTTCTGGACCAGCTCAGTCTTGCGGGACAGAACCTCATTGCTGCTGCTACGAGTCAACTGTCACAGCTGCCTCTGAACGACGAGACGGTTTCGGGCACAGGGGTGGTGCTCAATGCTGCAGAAGCAGAGGCGGAACTGAACGCTTTTGAGAATGGCACTGGGGCAGGGAAGGAACTGGAACCGTTCGTCAAGCCCATCTGCGACATCTTTTTGGAGGTGTTCGAGTTGAACAAGGGGAACAACTGGCTGAGGGGGAGAGCGGTGGTGGTGGTGCTGCATCAGTTGCTGGGCGGCACGATTGAGAGGAAGCTGAGGGACAATGTCAAGATGCTGGTGGGGGAGGAGCAGATACTGCGGTATGTGGATATGGTCAAGGGGGTGATGTGGCCTAGAGGGGAGATGGTGAGGGACAAGGTTCCGAGGACGAAGCAGGAGAAGTTGAAGACGAGGACGGAGGCGAGCTTGATGCTGGCGACGCTGGTGCCGGATTTGGCGGGGAGTGTAGTGGGCAGATTGAATGCGCAGGCGGCAAGCAGGAGGGTTTTTGCTACGTTGAATAATGGGAGGTTGAAGTAAGTTTCTTTTTCTAGTGTTTTCGGGTGGAAGGCTGCAGCCCATGCATGGACGAGGCTGAGGAATGAGTACCCTATGCTAACATGCATTCTGCTTCTTGTAGCGCGCATCTGGCGTTTACCTTTCTGGACGAGATCATCGACATCCTTTTCGAAGGAGCCTAGGACTTGAGAACATGGTTTATGTCCTGCATATGATTTATTACACTAGTAGTAATGGACTGGTCAGGTCAGGAGAGGTCATGCGGCCTTGGGGATTTCCGGCTTAGTTGCATAGCCAATGGCGTTTTACTATTTTGGCGGCTATAATGTTGTCGATTGCTTCATAGTAGAGGGTAGATATCTATCTCCATAACACACGCCACGGGCAACGCGGCAGACGGAACTGTACAAAGACTTTATCAGACAAAATTCAGGTGAGACGCAGATCTGAGACTCGAGGCTGGGGAAACTGTGTCCTGAGTGAGATGCATACCAGCCAGTGTTCTCTGTACCGTGTGAGAAGTGATACAGCCGAGTGTTGATCGTGCCACAAAGGCTGCTTCTCTAGAAACTGTTGTACGGACCAGATTATGCCGTGGCACCCTTCAATAACAAAAACAGCACCTTATGGGCAAAAAGGCAGAAAGAAGTGAAAGGAGTCTTCTGTATCGCTTGGACCATCCATCCAGACGGGAGCTTTGTGTCAGGGATCTTTCGCGGCGAGCCTCCCGTTGGGTGAGCGAAGGACTTGGCGCAGACTCTGGAGGGATTCGGCCATGTGATTGGCTCCCACACAGTGTGTCGAGTGGTGTGCGTTTGGAAGTTGGGGGGGGGGCATGTGAGGTCTTGCGTAGCCCCCCCCAGAGACCCCCCGTCATTCTCAAGCGATTCATGCTCGTGCTCGAGCCAATTTTTCTTCTTTTCCACTTCGCTCCATCTCCGCCCTCCATCCACCCATCTCCTCTCCATCAGCTGGAGCTTTTCTCCATCTCTTTTTCCCCAGGCCTGTCATCGCCACTCTCTCCCCTCCACATTTGCGCATCATCGTTCACCACCCCCCCATCCATCGTGCCCGTACCTACCTTTTCATCGCGTCTCTCCCCACGCGCGCCTCGTTTTTTTGTTTGTAGCCTGCCCGCATCGCCCGCCCACCCAGTCACCCCGAAAGCTACCAGGTGCTGGGAGGAATTGGTTCTGGCGCATTTATTTACACTTGAGCCAGCCAGAAGGACACCACCGGGCACCAGGCCAGGTCAACCCCACCCGCTGGACGGAGCCTTCCCTTTGACACACAGGCACAAGACCTCCGTATCACTCCACGCTCCGAGAGCTTCCTCCCTCCTCTTGCTCGTTCATCTCAACTCTCTCTTTCTCTCTCTGTCTGAATAGCTTTCACCTTGGCACGCGACCGGTCGTTCATCAGCGACAATGACTGAGGTATCGGCTACTCGCCTTTACCTGGGCAATCTGCCTCGGAATGGTAAGTTTGCTTTCGCGTCGCGCTCCTCCTCGACAAATTCGAGCGGCGCAGCGAGCTGCTCGCGAGGTGGCCACCTGGGCGTGCTTTGCTGACACTTTTGCCCATGACAGCTACCAAAGCCGATATCGAAGCTCACTTCTCCACCCATGGCACCGGTGACATTGCTGAGATCAAGCTCATGAACGGCTTCGGCTTCATCGAGTACAAGGATCCCATGGATGCACGCGATGTTGTTCCAGGTAAGCTACCCACACCCTCGCCCAAGGTTATTGTCCATAGTCGTAAACATCATGCTGACGTCTTGCGCGTGCTTCTAGCATTCCGTATGTTCACCATCACCCTCCCACTGACCCTCGTACTGCTGTGGCTAACGACGATAATGTGCAAGATGGTTCGACCTTCCTTGGCGAGCGCTTGACTGTCCAGTTCGCCCGTGGTAACCGACACCGTGAAAACAATGGCGGCGGCGGCGGCGGCGGCGGCGGATTCAACAACGACCGCAGCAGTGCCCCCCGGCCGCGCCGCACACCGCACCGCTTGCAGATTTCGGGACTTCCCCCAGACACCAGCTGGCAGGTCTGTTACCTCTCTCCTGCTCCCCCTTTGGACACATTTGGACCGGGCCGAAAATTCTGGCCATGAAGGACTCCTCTGCCCCTCAGTTTACCGGTTTGGTCAGCATTGGACTCGAAGTGCATTTTCTGCCCCTCCTCCCCCGCTCGGTCCCTCCCCCTGGCATGGTTCCGTCTCCTGGATGGTGATGTTCCCATTCGGCCAGCCCCCCGTCCTTGCATCGCAAGGATATGCACTCACTGCCCGAGCACTCTTGTTTTTGTTTGCAATGTCTGTTTTGCGGTTGGGGATGGCATAGAGCTCCAAAGTTACGATCAAACCGGGGCTGGCGGCACCGGGCTTTCTGGACTTCGTCTTTCCGCGTCGAACCTGACAAATCCCGGCACGCACCTACCTGGACTTCCACTTACATGGGACTGGCTCTATAGGATCTCAAAGACTTTGCTCGCACACCCGGCCTTGATGTCGTCTACAGTGAAACGGGGCGCAACGGCAGCAGCGAAGGGTATGTCATTCCGATGCGTCGCACACATCATGCAAAATGCAAGTGACTAACTCGACGTGCAGATTTGTCGAGTTCGAGACGGCTGCCGACCTCCGCACAGCTGTTGAGAAGCTGAACGAGCGCGACTTCAAAGGTGTTCGCGTCACTTGCACTGCCAACGTATGTAGCCTTGCCGCTGGCCAAGTTTGCGCTGGTTGCTAACAAACACAGACTCAGGCTGACATTCCCCGTGGAGACCGCGGGCGATCCATGTCACCTCGTCGCGGGCCGGGCCGCATGAATGACTACGATCGCCGGGGTCCGCCTCGCGCATACAGTCCCCACCGCAACGGGGACTACAGGCCTGATTACCGCGACCGGTCCCCTGTTCCTCGGCGCGATTATTACGAGGACCGTGCCAGGCCCTACCGCTCCCCTCCCCGCCGTGGACCCCCAATGGATGACTACCCGCCGGCGCGCCGCTACGATGACCCCTATCGTGGACCGCCCCGGGACTACCCTCCTCCTGACCCGTACATGAATGGCGGCGGACGGCCTTATGATCGTCCTCCTCCTCCTCGGGACTTTGCTCCGCGGGACCCCTATGTCCGGGAGCCCTACCCTCGGGAGTATGATCGGCGTTATTAGGCGACGCCGTCACACCAACTTCCTGGACCCTACATCACTTCACGATAGGTCTAAACAGCTCGATGTAGGTTCTTCCCAGCATGGATATAGGTCCCCTGAACCCTCAATATAGCCCACCTCGGGATAAGCCCAAGGCGCCTCTGAAGAAGCCTGTGTCGCCTGTCTCGTCTCGACATAGCCCTCGACGCAGTCCTTGGTCATCTGGATCTGAATCTTTGACAATCAGATCTGAGTTTCCAAAAGTCGGAACTCCTCCCGGTGATATCTCTCCTTGAAGTCTTGTTGAGCAATTGTATGGAGCATGTTGTTTTGGTCAGTGGTGTGCAGCCCTTTCGGCAGCAGTCATGATTGGATTGGATGGTTTTGGCTTGGGCCAGAGACGGCACAATTGGGCGAGTTTCGGCTCAGAAGCTCTCTGTTGTTATTCGGAAGGCGTTGCACGGTTGAGCTCTGGATCAGTTTGTTATTGTGGGAGTCTTTCTCTTGGTCGGTCTTTGAAAAGTATTATCGGCGATGGCTTCTCTCGTGGTCACACACTGTTCGTGTTACCCTCGACTTTCCTTGGCCTGGATCGGGACCGGCTGGACGACGGTGGAGTTATCGGAAACGCAACGCGGCAACGTGTGGTAATGATAGTTTTGATGGGATTCGTCCTGGTCTTTCATGTACGCTTAGGCGATGGGTTTCGGTAGTTTTCAATTGATTTTGTAGTTTTCACTTTTGCGCTGTGATATTAGTGACAGTAGTGATCGTCAGTGATTCGATATCCTCATGTATGTCTATATATATGTTCTGTAGTCGATGAGACCATCACCAGCCGTGCAGTCCATATCAAGTGAGGACCCTGGTGGCCAGCTGACAGGGGGTTAATTAAGCTTTGCGGGGAACAGGCGTGGACCGCATGCACTTTAGTGGGTCAACTGTGTAATCTTATCTTATCGGCCAGGCGCGATAAGAGAAATTCAGCGGACTGACAGCTCCAAAATTTTCGGGGCCCCTCTGGTTGGCGAATGCATGCGCGCTGCTGCTGGGAACACTTCCCTCCCTCCCCCCCCAAAAAAAACGTTCTCTGTCGTGCATCGCAAACCAATCCCATCCATCAACACCAACTCTCTCACAACGCAACCATGAAGCGCAAACTCAACCAAGACGACGAGCCACCACAGCGCCGATGCGGCCGCCGTTGCCGAACCAGAAAAGAAAAAGGAAAAAAAGGAAAAGAAAGAAAAGAAGGCGGTCGAGGAAGAAAAAGAGCTGACTTCGCCGAGCTGGGACTAGATCCCAGATTGGTCCAGGCGGTTGCGAAGCTCGGGTTTGAGAAGCCGACCTTGGTGCAGAGGAGAGCGATCCCCCTTGCGCTCAATGGGGAGGATGTTCTCTGCAAGGCCAAGACGGGGAGTGGGAAGACGGCGGCGTATGTGCTGCCTGTGTTGCAGGGGATTTTGGGGAGGAAGAAGGTACGTTTTCTCGGGGAAAGGGGAGGAGGGATTGGAAGGGAATGCTCATCTTGGGGGGTTGGGGGGGGGAATGATAGACCGATAACACACCCACCACGGCGGGCCTGATCCTCGTACCGACGCGCGAACTCGCCGACCAAGTCCACAAGGCGATCGAGGAGTTTTCGGCCTTTTGCGCAAAGGATGTGACGGCGGCGAAGCTGACGGAGAATGTTTCTGATGCTGTTCAGAGGAGCTTGTTGGCCAACGTGCCGGATGTGGTTGTTTCCACGCCTGCCCGGGCGTGGAAGAGTGTCGACTCGGGCGCGCTTTCGGTCGCGAATCTTCAGTACCTTGTGCTTGACGAGGCGGATCTTGTCTTGTCTTATGGGTATGATGAGGACATGGAGAATCTGGCGAGGTCGATGCCGAAGGGGGTGCAGACTACCATGATGTCTGCGACACTTTTGTCGGCGGAGCTGGACACGCTGAAGGGGATTTTCTGCAGGAACCCGACGCTGCTGGATTTGAAGGAGGAGTTTGGGGAGGAGGATGAGAAGTTGACGCAGTATTATGTCAGGACCGGGGAGGATGACAAGTGGCTGATTACCTACTTGATCTTTAAGCTGCAGCTGATCAAGGGGCCTTGCTTGATTTTTGTGGCGGATATCGACAGGAGTTATCGGCTGAAGCTGTTTTTTGAGCAGTTTTCTATCGGGGGATATGGGTGAAGCCAGGTAATATGCGTTGG